TGAATTATCTTCAATTGATTTTTTTGTGTTTTTGTTTACAATTATCGCAAAATATATACAGGAGTTTAAGATATGTTTATCTTTTCAACAGATATGTAGGTAGAGATATGACCGTGAGTGGTCGGATAGGCGTGACATGTATGCCGGAATCATTATTATTATTAATCATTATCATTATTATTAGTATTATTACTATTACACAGGCAGACATTCTACTGCAATGAAAAAAAATCTGCCCACTGGGGTATACAGAAAATAATAAAAATACCTTAAAGCACCGAGGTTCAATGTTCCACAATTAATTTATAAACAAAGTAAAAAAGAGAGAGAAAAAAATATATATCCTCACAGAGTAAGACAATACGACAAAGTGATCTAAGAATTAGAGATAAAAAGAAACAAACAAACAAAAAACGAGAGAGATGCGCGTCACACAAATACGGGATATGTCCATGTTTTTTTTTTCCTCAGTGTTTTTAAAAACCTTGTAATAACACCATCTTACTTGTTTGATATGACATCTGTGATATGCTGAATCAATATATGATATGATATCCTAGCAGTATACAGTTTAGAAAGAGGTGTCAGTACATCAGTAACCTTAATTTAATACGACGGGGCAGAAGCAGTCAAACTGATTTCCTCGATCATCTTTTTTCATCTTAAAACAACAAAAATATATATATATTATATGTATATATGTGTCGGCTTTTATTGGGTATGTTATTACGAGAAGCAAATTTGGACCGTACCGAGGATCTACATAGAGCTCACATTCAAGTAGCGACTTCACAAAGCGACGTATTTTTTATGATATATATTTTTTTTGTTTTATTTTGAGATTTTTTCTTTTTTCCTTCAACGAGACATGACACTTGTACATCGCACGGAACAGTCATATTGTTTTGCCCCTTGCATACCATACGCTTAAGAATTAGCCGTAAATACAGTCCAGAATCTACCTTGCCTATTTTGAGGTTTCCAGAATAAAAATGAGAAGATAGAAGAAGGACGATAGAGTGCGAAAGAGATGGAGAGAGAGAGAGAGAGAGAGAGAGAGAGAGAGAGAGAGAGAGAGAGAGAGAGAGAGAGAGAGAGAGAGAGAGAGAGAGAGAGAGAGAGAGATACATAGATACATAGACAGATGGATGGAGAGTGAGAGAGAGAGCGAAAAAAATGTGAACTGCATATGATAAACAAGAACGGGAGTCAAAATATAATTCCGGCACAGGTAAGTTGAATCAGGAAATATTCCCAGGGACAACATCATTATTATCATTATCATCATCATCATCATCATCATCATTATGATTATTCTTTTTTTTTAGATCATTTTTATCATATTTTTAAGCATTTTTTTATTTTTATTTTTTTTGTATTTGTTCCATATCTTGTCCTCCTTCCAGATCCTACGCTACGACGAAATTCTTGTAGGTTCGTTTTCCTCTTCCTTGAATATAGATATATATCTCTCTTCCCCCCCTCCGAGCGGCGAACGAACGTGGCTACGGGCGTGATGGGGACGCCCACGCCCCTCAAGGCTGCCGACGCGTCCACCCACGGCGCCCAAGGTCCTCCTCGTTGATGGCAGCCGGGCGGGGAGGCGTTCGCGCCCACTTGTGAATGCCCAGGTCCTGTGACGGCAGCGGCTCCGGAGACCACCACCCGAGGTTGTCCTTCACGGCTGCGGGAGAGAGACAGCGGGTGAGTCGCGGGGAGTGAAGGGGGGGGGTCAGGTAGGGGGAAGAGGGATACAGATATATAGATAGATAGACAGATAGACAGACAGATAGATAGACAGATAGACAGACAGATAGAGAGAGAAAAAGAAGGAGAAAGAGAAGGAGAAGGAGAAGGAGAAGGAGAGAGAGAGAGAGAGAGAGAGAGAGAGAGAGAGAGAGAGAGAGAGAGAGAGAGAGATGGACAGACAGATAGATCGATAGAAAGATCGACAGATAGATAGGTAGACAGATATGTAGATAGATAGATAAAGAGCTATGAATGAAAGGGAGAGAGAAAGAAGGGGATTTGAAAGGACACAAGAAAACGTAATGGGATAAAAAAATGGACATTGCTAAAACTTATAACAGCAACAAGGGCTTCTTCTAGCGTCTGAGCAGACTGAGGGATGAAAGACATACACATGCTACCAAAGGGCATTAACATAAGTGTATAAACATCTGTCTGTCTATTTATCTATATACATATACACACACAAACACACACACACGCACACAGAAGCACACACACACACACACACACACACACACACACACACACACACACACACACACACACACACACACACACACACACACACACACACACACACACACGCACACACATTCGCGAGAGGAAAAATGCTCCCCATCAAAACAATAATTTCTCAACCTCACTTTCGCTGTTTCTAGGCAGCAAGGAGACATAAATCTACGGGATTCAAAACCCGAGTTTCAATCCTATGCACACACGCACGGTTTTTGCCTCCGGCTATCTTTACACGCTGAGACATGTTTCTCACATTTCTTTGTTGGCATTCTTCGATTCAACGATAAATCTGTTTATTTTTAAATTGAACTGAAAGGAGATAAAAAATTCAATTTTCGTTCGTCATTTCGCTGTTTATTCAAACAATTTATTATTCACTATTATGTTTCTCGGTAAGTTGAGCTTAATATTAGTATCCTCTTTATTTTTGTCTCAGCATTGCCAATAAAAGTAGAAAAGATCGGATGAAAATAATAAAAATATATAATACCATTACATAATATAACTATGTTAATACGATATTTTATAGTTGATGATAATACCATTCTTGATACAATTCTATGTATTATGATAATAGAATATCAGAGCAAATATTGATAAGAAAGAAAGAAAGAAAAAAACAAACATAATTGTATCATAGCTTCAGCATTCTTAGCCTGAAACATTCTGGAAAGAAAAAAAAAATCATGTTCGTTCTCACAGTCTAGATTTGATTTTGATAAAGGAGTATCCAGGTGGCCAAAATAAACTTGTTGCCAATAGAATCTTAAGCTTTTAATAGATACCCTTTATGGTGCTAGCTTTATAAAGTTCTTTTGATGATTATATATACATATTTGTCTCGTTATTATTATTATCATTATTATTACTATTATTATTTTCAATTGGTTCTCGCTGTCTCTGTTTTTGCCTCTCTCTCTCTCTCTCTCTCTCTCTCTCTCTCTCTCTCTCTCTCTCTCTCTCTCTCTCTCTCTCTCTCTCTCTCTCTCTCTCTCTCACTCTCTCTCTTTCTTGCCTCATTACCTTCCTATTTTTCCTTCCCATCGTTCCTCTCCTTAATCCTCCTCATTTTTCCCCCCTTCCTCTCATCCTCCTTTCTCTCCCTCCCTTTCCCTCCCTCTCTCCCTTCCCCCCTCCTTTCCCCTTCCTCTTTCCAGGAAGAACTTGGTAATAAATGTTAATGAAGTTCCCGTCCCTGTCAAATATAATATGGCACGGTGGGAATTTTCAGGGCATATTGTCAACAGGTCCGAAGTAATAGAAGTACCTTTTTTGCCAATAATATCCACGTGGAAAGTAGTAACGAGATTGCTGCTTTAGCCTCCGCTGCGACAGGAGAAACAGCGAGAGAGAGAGAGAGAGAGAGAGAGAGAGAGAGAGAGAGAGAGAGAGAGAGAGAGAGAGAGAGAGAGAGAGAGAGAGAGAGAGAGAGAGAGAGAGAGAGAGAGAGAGAGGAGAGAGAGAGAGAAACAATCTGAACACAAGCCGGTGAAAGAAGAGAATGAAAATGAGCGAAGGAGCAGAAGCAGCCTGCTTGCCTGCCTGATTGCCTGCCTGCCTGTCTTCCATCCTGTCTGCTTTCCTGCCAGCCTGTCTTCCTCCATGTCAGTATCTATACCTGCCTGTCAGTCTACCTGCCTGCTTGCCTGCCTACCTGTTTATCTGCCTGTCTGTCAGCCTGCCTGTCTGTCTGCCAGCCTACCTGTCTGCCTTCCTTCCTGCCTACCTGTCTGTCTGCCTGCCTGCATATCTGCCCACCTGCCTATCTGCCTGCCTGCCCGCCTGCCTGTCCAGTGGCGGCGACAGATCAATGCATCATTCCCGGCCATGTTTTCGCCCCGTTTCCTGCGACGTGGCGAGAGCTGGGGTTGCGCTGGGGTCCCTCGGGGTCTTATTAAGAGCGCGAGTCATTGTATGTCTCCGCCACATGTTGCCGTCCGTCTGCCACCTCGCTCGCTGCTCCCTTCGCCGGCCTGCCCTCGCCTTATTCTTTTTCTCTTGGTCTGGAGCTAAAGATGTCTGTCTGTGTATGTGTCTATAAATTTATCTATATCTATGTGTATCAGTACAGCCTTCTATCTATTTACCTACCTATCTATCAGTGTAATATAAGAAAGGCAACGCCATGGCTTTTACGAAAGAATGCATGGCGAGAAAACTTCATCATTTATCACTTTACCTGCCGACCTATCTACACATCTACCTGTCCATACGGCCATTCCAGCTATCTGTCTCTCATATCTTTATATAGCTCTCTCCTCTCATTTTTTTTCCTCTTTCTTCTAACGTATCAACTCAAGGGCGTGTTATTTTTTTTCCATCGTCTTCCTCTTCTTTCTTTATGTATCTATGTTTGCTTTTCTTCTACTTCTTCCTCTCGTTTCTTATTTTCTTGCTCCCTTCTTCTCTTCATTTCTTTCGCGTCATCTCGCAATTCTTCCTTTTCTTCCTCATCCTTCTCTTCCTCTGCTCCTCCTTCGTGCTATCTTATTGAAATTTCGTGACTCCCTGATCCTACCTCCCCCTCCCTCTCCCTCTCCCTCACCCTGCCTGGCTCTCCGCCTCCCCCCGCCCCCACCATGAATATTTGGGGGCAATACATCACGTGTCGGAGAAAATGGCTCCTTATCCCCAACATGAATCCCCTCACCCCCCCCCCCCACACACACACTTCCCCCTACCCCTCAGATCTCATAAGAAGATGGTTCCTTCGCCTCCTCTTCCCCCCTATCCCCCACCCCCAACCCTCTTATTCTTCACCTTGAAACTCCCAAACACTTTAAGTATATGGTTTCATCCCCTCCCTCCCCCCCCTCTCCTTCGCCCCCCCCCCACATACCCCTCCCTCCCTTCAACCCCCCACCATCTGTATCTGACAGCTTGTCTTCCTTTCTCGTGGCTCTAACATCTTTGGCTGACATATTAAACGCTTCAAATCTGACGGTCTAAGGTCGTTCAAACTTTTTTTTCTCTCTTTTGTGCGCGGATGAGTGAATGATTGTGTGTGTGTGAGCGTGTTTTTTGTGCTTGAGTGATTAATTGCGAGACTGAGTGTGTTTATGTATTTTTTAGGAATGACTGAGTAAATGATTGAATCCATGAATGAATGTATTTACGCGGGTGTAAACGAATTTACCGATATGAATGAGAGCCTATTTGTTTGTGATTGCGTAAGTAAGTGGTGTTTACGTGAGTGAATGAATGACTGATTGCATGAGTGCTACTGTATGCATGTTTCGTAGTGTCCTTATATTCATTTATATTTTTATATATTTGTATGTGACTTTGCTCTAGTCTGCAATGTATTTGTAAGCGAATGTACCTATATGAAGGGCAACCTATTTGTGTGTGATTGCGTACGTGGTGTTTACGTGAGTGAATAAGTGACTGATTAGTGTACGCATGTTTGACAGTATTCATATGTTTATATGTATCTGTATGTGTATGGATATGAATATTGCACTGCTCTGCGATATATATGTTCCGATAATAACTCTTTACTGAATAAGCGGATTAGATTATGCGCGACTGGAATTTATTTCATTTTATTACTTGCGTGTGCTCTGCATTGCCAGATTTAATGAAGATCTGTTTATAATGACCTTGAGTTGCCAGAATAATCGATATGAACTGGCTCTCAAATGGCACTGTAACTGCTCGCAAAAATTATATCACTGTGGCTTTTACTTTGCATCTGACACTGCTTACCCATAGTTAGTGTCACTTATCAAGTGCATAACCAGAATCCTTTTAACTTAGTATGTGACACCGCTTATCGATAACGAATGTTATTTTCAATATGCGTGAGTCACTCCTTATGTAACCAGTGCCACTCGCCGTTTCTGACACTGCCACTTAGCAGACTAATCACGACTCTATTTCGCGACACCACATCCAGCGGAGAACTGTGGCACTAACGACAGAGACGATCGTTATCTCCTTGTCATCATTATTTGCACGGCTTTCAATGCTCGAAGTTGCTTTTCAGGATCGGAAAAATTTTCGGATTATTTTAGGTAGGAAATAATAGGAAGGAAGAAAGTGGAAGAGGGAATGAGAGAGAGAGAGAGATGAGAGAGAGAGAGAGACAGAGAGAGAGAGAGATGAGAGAGAGAGAGAGACAGAGAGAGAGAGAGAGCGAGAGAGAGAGAGAGATGAGAGAGAGAGAGAGATGAGAGAGAGAGAGAGATGAGAGAGAGAGAGAGATGAGAGAGAGAGAGAGACAGAGAGAGAGAGAGAGATGAGAGAGAGAGAGAGCGAGAGAGAGAGAGAGATGAGAGAGAGAGAGAGCGAGAGAGAGAGAGAGAGAGATGAGAGAGAGAGAGAGCGAGAGAGAGAGAGAGAGGAGAGAGAGAGAGAGATGAGAGAGAGAGAGAGATGAGAGAGAGAGAGAGATGAGAGAGAGAGAGAGATGAG